TTAACCAGGACTGGAGAGATGGCTCAGTGGTTAAGAGGACTTGTTGCTCTTGCAGATGACCCAGGTTCGATTCCAAGCACCCACGTTAGTGGCTCACAACCATCTGTAATTTAGGTTCCAGGTGATCTGAAACGCTCTTCTGTGGGCACCAGGAATGCATATATGCAGGAAAAACATTCATACATGCTGGCGGTGGTGAACACCTTTAATCCCAGCACTCGGGAGGCAGAGCCAGGTGGATCTCTGTGAGTTCGACGCCAGCATGGTCTACAGAGCGAGATCCAGGACAGGCACCAAAACTACACAGAGAAACCTTGTCACGAAGGAAAAAAAAAAAAAGAATAAAGAAAAAAAACATTCATACATAAAATAAGTAAATCTAAATACAATTTTTAAAAAAGATGATTTCACAACAGAAAATCAGTTAACTGAGTAGAGTGATGAGAAAGGAGAATTAGAAATGGACAGAGGACCACAAAGGACTTCAAAGGAAGTATTCATCTTCATCAGTAGTGGGTTAGCTTTTTCTGCGCAACCAATAGCTACAAGCTTCCAGTGCTATAAAAAAGCATATAAAATATCAATTCTTGTACATTTTGGGTAAGCCAGGGGCCAGCTCTTTTGGGTGGGGTTCAGCTGGACAGTTCAGCTTGAAAATGAAGGTCTATGGGTTGGTGGAGTAACCAGGGCCCAGCTGTGTCTCATTATTCCTGGGCCAGTTGACTAGGTGTTGCAAGTTCTCCTCATGGCTATGGGGAGTACTGAGAGGTTCGATTACAAACAGAACTCATTTCAAGCTTCTGCTTGGATATCCTTGAATACAAAGCAACTTTCAAGACCCAGATTTAAGCTTAAAAAAAATGGAGAGGCAGGGGCTGGATGATGGCTCAGCAGTCAGAGCACATACTACCCTTGCAGAGGATATGGGTTCAGTTTCTGGCACCCACATCAGGCAGCTTACAATGTAACTCCAGCTCTTGGGGATCTGGCCTCTATAGGCACCTGTGCTTATATGCACATAAACTCACACACACAGATCCACTCACATACACATAATTAAAAATAAAAATAAACCTAAAACAAAAGACTGGAGAAGTACACACAAATTATAATGGTATGGATACAAAGTGAGTATATAACTGTAGCCCACATTCAAAAAATACCATAGGGCCACAGGGCACGTGGGTATATTATTCTTTATGATATATATATATATATATATGCATATTGAGATTTTGTATGGAGTATAATAAAATTATATCCAGCTTTTCTTGGCCTACTCCAAAGCATCTTTTTGTGGCAGATAACATTTATATATTCTTTGTAGTTCATCCCATTAAAGGTAGAATTTGTCTTTCAACTTGAATGTGGCATAGTTTGTGACACTGGACATAGGACTGCATGAGGTAGTTCCTCTTTTTTTTTTTTTTTTTTTTTTGCAGCTCCAAAGTTTTAGTGTTAAGTGGCCAATACAAAGACTAAAAAAGACTTGCAGACTCTAGGGAGAAGCAGACCTACTGCTTCTGATAGGCGAGAAATTTGTCATGGCTTCTCAAGATGTCAGTGGCACAGAAACTGTACTTTGGGGCTTGGAGAGAAGGTTCAGCAGTTAAGAGCGCTTAGTGCTCTTACTGGAGTTCAGTTCCTAGAAGCCACATCCAGCCACTCATAACACCCTCTCCTGGTCCCCACAAGCAACTGCACTCACACACAGACAATACACACCCATAGTTTAACATCTAAAACCAACACAAAACCAACTATTTTCTCCTATCTTACCATCTCCAATTCACTCACGACTCGGTCTCCACATAAATTTGTGTTGTGCTATAGCTGGAAGTTTTCCTGTGTCCTGGGCGCCATTTGTAGATGGAAGGTTTCTCTGGCCCACCCAGCCCGCAGTCCCACAGCCACTTATAAAATAATGACTCAGAGGCTTATGTTAATTACCAATTGCATGGCATAGGGTAGGCTTCTTGCTAGCTAACTCTTATAACTTAAATTAACCCATTTCTATTAATCTATGTTTTGCCACGTGTTCTGTGGCTTCCTGGTCTGGGGGCATGCTGTTCCTTAGGCAGCAGGCTGGCATCTCTCTGCCTCTCCTTTCTCTTCCTGTCTGTCTCCCTTGGGTTTTCCCACCTGGCTTCATCCTGCCTTGCCATAGGCCAAAAGGCTTTATCTATCAACCAATCAGAGCAACATATATTCACAGCGTTTAGAAAGACATCCCACAGCAGTGCACAGTTGTCCTCTAGTTGATTTCGGCCTCACACACAGCTGATTGTTTCCATTACAGGTCTCCATTTATTATTTCTTCCTAAATTCAGTTTTCACTACCCAATAGCCTTCATCTGAATAGGGAGAGGCCCCAAGTATCATTCACCTGGTTGCCCAGGTTAGTAATGAGTAGAAATGGAAAATAATATTGAAGGCAATTTGTTTAGACTGAGCTCCTAACCAACAATAATGTGGGGATTTAACAAGGCAACTCCACGCAGTTAAAAAGGTTTAATTTGGGGTAACTTACAGCCAGTAAAGGGGTTGGTTACAGGATCTGGGAGAGGTGAGGTGCAGTCCAGCTGTGTTCTCTGGAGAACTTTGACTCAGTCTGCCATCCAGCATGCAGGATCACGAGGATCCTGGCACATCTGGATCTCAAGTCTTAAGGGCTCCGGTCTCGGCCCCACCCCAGGGGCAAGTCAGAGGTAGGTGTGGCAGTTACCAGAAGCCTCTCTAGGGGTAGTACTTCCAGGTCAAAGCTGGCACAGCTACCCACTACACAACAGGCCAAACCAAAACAAGTGGCAGACTAGACACTCTCCCTTTCTCCTCCTGTTATAGTCACACTGGGTTTCAAGGTTCTGTGAGGTCAAGCACACTAGCTGTAGTCTCAGAACTCTTAACTTGATGTTTCTTCTTCACTGCCAGGGGCCCCTCAAACAGACCCAGCTCCACAACTGTCTCCTGTCCCCAGAGGGTCTAATCCAGTCCCATGCAGGTTCCACCGCTGTCGATCAACAGTTCGTGAGTTCCTTTGAGCTTGGTTCAGTTGTCTCTGTAGATTTCCCCATCATGATCTTGACTCCCCTTGCTCATAGAGTCCCTCTTTCCTCTCTTCGACTGGACTC